GCAGAGACCCTGGACCCGCGAGAAGCAAAAAAGTGGCGCCTTCCAGAGAGCGCCGGGCGGCGCGGTGGGAAGGGGTCTCCAGCCCGCGCTGCGGAGCTGCGCGCGCCCCAGGCGCTGGGTCAGGGGGGCTGCAGACCGGCCCTCGGGTTTGCAGGACCCCGGGACCAAAGTTGGGTGGAGCCACTGGGTGATTTCCCCGGTGCTGCAGGTGTAGCCCCAGAATGCCCTCGTTGCGCCGCGACCCAGCTCGGGGACGCGCCGGTCCCTCGGTCCCCGCGCTCACCTGCACTCATCTCAGCGGCGGCAGGGAGGCGGGCGGTCCGGCGTTGCGGCAGCCCGACGCTCCAGCCCGCAGGGGCCGCGCCCGCGCGATCGCCAGCGCGCCAGCCCGCGGGTTCGCGGGTCCGCCGACCCCGGGCAAGGTCCGCGCCCGCCCGCAGCGCCGCCGCAGCCCCCCGGCGCGCCCGCCCCGCCCCGCCTCGCCGGCCCCGCCCCCCCCACCGGCCCCGCCCCCCAGCGCGGCCCCGCCCCGCCCCCGCCCCCGCCGCTCTGCGGGCAGGACGCACCCTGGGAAGTGTAGGCGCAGCGCCCCCGCCGCTCCGCCTTCGCGGCCCAGCGGCCACTTGGACGAACTACTAGTCCCGGTAGGCAGCGCGGCCCGCGCACGCGCAGGCAGGCGACGCCGCTGCGGCCTCCCGCCGCGGCCGGTGTGTCTCTGCGGGGCTGTCGCAGCGGCCTGCCTGGCGCCTTGGCTGGCTGCGGCTCCCGAGAGCCCGGGAGTGGCAAGGAGAGAGGCCAAGGGACAAGAGCTTGGTGCAGCTCTTGTTGAGTCGTGGAGCGGCTGGGGGCCTGAAGACCTGGGTCCGCCCCCACCTCCCCCAGTGTGCAGACAGGGAAACGGAGGCGGGGCGCGGGCTGGGATTCCGGCGCGGGGCTCCCGACTCCAGGTCTAGGGCCGCACACCAGGCTCCCGGCGCGCTGCACTGGCTGGCGCCTTCGGAGGGGCCGCGTCCTACCCCACGGTAGGCCCCGGGCCCGGCCCCCACCCCCGCCCCCCGCTGTCATCGACTGCCCTCTGTGACGTCAGGCGCCCAGCACGGGGCGGGGTCCGGGTGGTGGAGCGGGAAGCACTAGGGGTGGGCGTCAGGAAAAGAGGGGGAGCAGCTGGTGCCTGGTACTGTCAAAAGGGGTCTTTGCGGGTGCAGGCGACTGGACTGAAGGAGCATTCAGGAGGCAGAATCCGGGACCTGGCACGCGGGGTGAGGTGGCGGGAGGAGACTGGCTTGGGCCAAGGCTGTGGGGGGATGCTGTCAACAAGGGGAGGCGGGCGGCCGCAGAAAATGTGGACTCCGAATGGAATACTGAAGCGGGAGCAGACACCCTGGCCCTGGGCAGCACCCGTGTACCCTGGACGGGCTCCTGGGAAAGGCCAAGTGCAGCAGAACCAGCCACAGGCAAGGCCCCGCAGTCCTGGCCATGCACCCTAGCAACCAGGAGGCCTGCCCAGGTGGCTGGGCCCGCAGCTGCACGCTCTACTCCCTTCTGGGGCGGGGGTCCCCAGAACACAAATGCCATGGGGTGCAAGGGTCAGACGTCTTCTTCCCCACCCAGCGTCCCCTCCTAGCGCGACCCTGAGCAAGACCCTTATGTGGGCATCGGGACCGGTGAGTGATGTCGGCTGAGAGCATGAAATCTGGGTCATCGGTCCTGGCTAGGGCAAAGGCAGGCCAGCAGGGATGGAGGAGCCCGGGGTCTGACCACCTGCTCGTGAGCCCAGCTTCACCTGCTCGTGCAGGGTGCCTAGCTCGACCTCAGCGTTCGTCATCAAACTAGACGGAGCTCCTGCTGGGCAGGATGGTTCCGAGGATTACATGCGCCGATGTATGACGTGCACCCCTCTGAGTTGAGACTGATAAACGTTTTTGACATTCTCATGCCATTATTATTATTACCGTTGTTCTCAGTGCCTTGCATGGGGTCTGCTGCAGAGCGGGCCCTCCACACACGTCGGTTGAGTGAAGGGAGAGAAGAATGGAGGAAGGAGAGGGTGGGAGCACCCTGCCACCACTCACCCTCCTCAGGAAGCTCTTTGCCGAGCCCCCCACAGTCCTGCTTCCTCCCTGGCAGAAGCATCAGCACCCCCATGTCCTCAAAGGTCCCTAGGAACCTTCTGGAAGCAAAGGATTTCCCCCACAGAGCCTGGTGAGGATGGCAGGGAGGCCGCGATCACACCACTTGGCCATGGGAAAAACCAAGGTGTGGATGGGGTGTGAGTCAGGGTGGGTGTGGCGAGCCTGGCTCCTGGCTGGTCCCAGAGCTCAGCCCGCTGTATGGCCACCCCGGGGCCTCCCATGGACTTGGCCTCACCTCTCTGAGCAGGCACCGTCAAACAGCAGGGACGGGGCGGGGGTCACAGCAGTTCTCAGCCTGGAAAGACCTCAGGATCATGTGATTCTGGCACACTCTTTCAAGAGGACAGAACCTAAGGCCCAAGGAGGTCCTGCCCCGAGTCACCCAGTAAATCAGCAGTAAGGGAGGGGCTTGGCCCAGGTCCTGTGGCTGTGCTGCCAGCTCTCTGCCCTCAGCAAGGGGCGCGCTCCCTGGGGCAAGCCTGCTTGCGTGTCCTCGCTTCCTGCACAGCGCCCGCCGACACTGGCTGATTTGGATCGACTGACCCAGACTTTGGCTCTCATCCTGGTACTGTGAGCCAGGTGTGGCCTCGGGCAACTGGCTTGCCCTCTCTCTGCTTCATTTTCCTTACCAAGCATAGTATCAACCCGCGTAGGGTTTGTTAGGACGACGATGGAGTAATATAGGTGTCTGCCAAAAGTCAGGGCTCCATAAATGTTATTATCACATTTATTATTAAAACAGACATGGGAGAGGCATGTGCCATCACTTCCCCTAAATACGGTTTTCTTTCCTCACATGTATATCTTACATCCAGCGGCCCCCCGCTCCCCATCCACCCATCCATCCATCATCCATTCATCCTTCCATCTATCAATCCATCCATCATCCATCCATTCATCTGTCCACCTGTCCATCTGTCCATCATCCATCTGTCCATCCATCCTCCATCCATCCTCCATCCATCCATCCATCCATCAATACATCCTTCCTCCCATCATCCATCTGTCCATCCATCATCCATTCATCATCCATCTATCCATCCATCCTCCATTCATTATCCATTCATCCTCCATCCACCCACCCGTCATCCATCATCCATCCATCCACCGTTGTTGAACACCTTTAGTGTGTACTGGGCACTGTTCTAGTAAAAAAAAAATGGTAAGAATTTGTTTCTCAAGTCACATGACTCATTATAGAAAATGCTGCCACCTGAGACCCTGGGTGGGGGGGGGGGTGTCAGAGGGCCTTCAAGGGCTCCTTGACACAAAGGAGGTTCCAGACAGGCTAACAGTCAAACCAAGACCCTTCGATATTTATTGAAAGTATGTGCGTCCAGAGAGAGAGCTGGGCTTGCTGGGCGCAGACGCAGAAGGCGGTGGGGGCTTGCCTTCCTCCTCCAGCCCCTCCTGCTGGGCTCACTCCTGCAGACAGAGGCCCCTGTGTCCCGGGACCCTGGCAGGTAAGGAAGGGGCTTCACCTGTTGCTTGGGGCCCTCCCACCTCGAATGCTCATCGAAGCTTTCACTGGGGTCTTCAAGCCCCTCTCAGGAAGGTGCCCAGACTGTGGCCCCGCTGGCCCCTCGTCCCAGCTCCATGCCCATTCTTGCCACACACGCCTTTGCCTCATCATCCCCCCGAGGAACTTACATGGTCCATTTGGTTTAATCCTTCCGTGCCCTTGAGGCAGGGCTATGGTCTTCTACCCGACAGTCTTGGAAAGGGGACAGAACGTGGCCAGGCCTCACGTGGGGAAGCGCAGAAGGGGTGGAGCTTTCCAAGACTCCTGTGGACAAGGTCAGAGCGCTGGCCGGAGCTTCCAGCCTGCAGCGCTGGCCTTTGTCCCTCCCGGATGGGCCCCGGGCACTCGGCCTGCTGCCGCTGGCAGCGTCATGGCCGCCTTGGGGTCCAGAGGCTCCCAGGTGTGGACACTGCTCTGAGGCAGTGCTCAGGGAGGACAGTGGTGTCACTGGGCTCAGATATCAGAGCACCTGGGCCCACCAACGGCCCTGCCTGGTGCCGACAGGCAGGTGCTGGCTCGCCCAGGAGGCTGGGAAGGGGTGGTCGGAGCCCCGGGGAAAGGGTCTTTTCTTTTCAAGATAAATCGTCCTGTGAGAAGCACACGCACCGGTCACTGTTCCACAGGTCTGCATATTGCTTCAAAATTAGGGTAATTTGTCCTGAAAATGTGTATTGCCCTTTTGAGGCGCATGAAGGCCTTGGGAAGTACAGAATGTTGGGTGGTGGGGTGGGTCTGGACACAGCCGGGCAGCCCCCGGTGCTGACCTCACATGGTCTGGGTCAGGTAGAGATTTGGGCTGGGTTTCTCGTGGACAGCCCAGGAGGGGCAACCTGTGGGCCAGGGGGCTACTTCTATGGGGCAGAAGAGCCTGGATGGAGGGGTTTTGTCTCACCCCATGGGGCCAGCCTCATGCTCAGATGGTGGGAGCTGAGGGTGAGTGGAAACTGCCCCTGAGGAGAATGCCCAGGGCCAAGCCAGGCTAGGCGAGCAGTCAGCACCTGGGACAGCTCCGTGCCCACCACCCCTTCCTTACTGGCATCACCACTGTATCCCCATTTTACAGACCGGTAAACTGAGACTTTAGCTTACCCAAAGGCAATCTATTCCCAAGTGGAAGAGCTAGGCCCTTTAGAGGAGCCTGTGGGCTTTGGGACAGGTGGCCCCTGGATGTGACGTCAGTGCCCAGAGGCATCTGGGAGGCCAAGTGATGAGGCTGAGCGTCCTGAGCCAAGGACATGGGGTGTGGCCCAGAAGGACCTGCCCCACCAGACCCAAACTACACAAGGCCCTCTGCCCCTGAGCTGCTGGAAATGCTCCCACCCTCACCTGCTTTGCTAAGGCTCACCTTCTGGACTTTGATGGAGACTTTCTCCTTGCAGGAACCCCCCGAAGCCAGGGGCCACCTCTGCTCCCCGTGGCCCTGCCTGTCACTGCCATGTCACTCCCCAGTCCTGCCATGTGGCTCCTGTCTGGCTCCCCAGCCAGACGTCAAGTTTGCCAGGCAAGACTCAGTCATGTCGGGGTCTCAGGCACATCCCGGGGTCTCCAGGGCATCACAGGGTCTGCAGAGCACCTCAGGATCCCCAACGCAGAGGAGAATAGCCACTAAACTGTGGGGTCCGCATGCTCCCTGCTCTGGTCCCCTTTGCCACCTCTAACTCAGCACACCGAAAGGAAAGAGGTCATGCTCCTCTGAGCCCCCCTCCCAGTGTCCGTGACCTTGACCTGGGTCTGCTCAGGCTTTCCACAAGTTGCTTCTACAGAAAGCAGCACGGAGTGGCTGGGCTCCCCTGGGGCCTGGTCTAGGTGATGCCCTGAAAACCCAACGGTGCAGAAGCCCCGGGCAAAGTCACACGGTGGCCAGTGGCAGCAGACAGCATCCAGTAGCCCTGGATGACGCCAGGGCCCCTCCAGGCCCGCTCTGGCCGATGCTGTGCGGCTCTGTCCTTCCTTCACCTCCACATACAGCCCGACAATTGATTTACTTCACAGCCAAGTGGGGGAACAAATGAAATGTGATTTCATTTGTGGGTTCTTTCCAGGCACTCAATAATTTAAAACCATGGCATATGAAACCAAGAGTAAAAATAACATGTGACTCACATCTTGGAGCCTTGCTCTCTCGCTACACCTCGACTGCCCAGCTGACTGGAGCCCAAGCTCACCGTCACACCCCTACGACTCACCTGAGTTCCCGGGCAGGCAGGTGGGAAGGAGGAATGTGCGGGCGGAGGCCACAGTCTCAACCTCCCCATGAACTCTAGCTGGGGCGGCAGACCCGGCGACGTTTCGCTGTCGCAGAGCTGGCTGGTCATGGGGACGGAATGAAGTCAGAGGTACACGGGCCTCATTCTGGAAATGACTCCGTGCAAGACCCGGAGTTTGGGCTGCTGATCAGAAAGCCTTTCCTCCAGTGACATTGTGCACCTGCGCGGCAGAAGCAGGCGGGGGGAGTCAGGAGCACGTGAGAGCAGGCTCAGAGGCAGGCTGAGGTGACACACTTACCAGCACCTTCCTGTGCAGGAAGCCAGAGAGATGGGAAGAGCTGGTCTGGGCCCCCTGGGAGTAAGTGGAATGTGCAGAGGGATGCACACGTCCTGTGGCTGTGTGACAAAAAGCACCACAAAATACACAAGTGTGTCTTCCTGCTGTCCTGGAGGCCAGATGTCCGAGGGCCATGCTCCCCACAAAAACTCCCGGGGAGGGTCCTTCCTTGCCTCCCCCAGCTCCCGGGGGCTCCCGGCACTCCTGGGTGAGTGGGGGCCCCACCCCAGCCTCCCCTCCCTGTGCTGCCCCTGCTCTTCCTGCGGGGACACCAGCCTCGGATTCCGGGCCCGCCCTACCCCAGCCCTACTCTGCATCTTAGCTGGTTACACCCATGAAGACCCTATTTCCAAATAAGGCCACCTCACGGGTCCTTGAGGGGTGGGATCTGAGCATCTCTGGGTGGGGGGGGGGCAAGCTAACCAGCACCATGCGGCGTAAGGGCCCGGGAGGAAGGCGTCAGGTCTAAGGGCTCCCAGTGGGCGAGGAGAAAACTGGGGCTCAGAGGGACAAGGTCACAGCAAGAGTCAGGTCCCAGCAGGCCGGAGTCCACTATTGTCCCCGGCTTGATGACAAGGGGGTACACGGCCATGCAGGGGGCGCAAGGGCAGCCCTCCCAGATGAGGAGGCCAGCTCCTGCACCTCCCAGCCTCCAGCCCCAGTGGGCGCTGACCCCCAGGCCCATTGAAGCGACACACATCACCTCCTAGCACAGCTTCCGCAGCCCTGGACTTTGTGAGCAGGAACAGTCCGCCCCTTGGGGCAGGGAGAGGGCCCCCTCTCGTGACGAAGGGGTGGGCTCTGAGGAGGACCTTCCCCCCTCACCTCCTGCAGGATTACCAAGCGCTTCGCCCTCCTCGCCTCTTGCTCCAGCGCCCCTTTCTGGCCCTGACGGTGAGCACTGTGTGGCTTTACGCACGTGCCAGGCTAAGCGATGTGCAGAAGTCACTGGCGAGGACGGGCAGGGCCTCCCTGCGGCCAGCGCAGGGCCCTCTCCACCAGAGTTTCGGGCTCTGACCAAGCTGCCGGGGGCAGACGCAGGACTGAGTGGTTTGATGGCAACGCCAAACGCCACCGGCTGGGGAAGTGCCAAAAGACGCATGTTCTGGTATTTTCATACTAAAAACAAAAGCAAAATAGTGCCCCCCTAGCCCAAGCTTACTCGTCACCCCATGATCTCTTTGGTCATGTTTCTGGGAGAAGCATCTACACTCGCTGTCTGCACCACCTCACCTCCCGTTCACTCAACACCGCCTCCGATCCCCACCCTGCCACTCTCAGCCACACACCAGGGACCCCCTTGGGGCTCCATCCGGGAGCACGGGTCCCTCTGGGAGGCCATCTGCCGTCTCTGCAGGCCCCGCACCAACCACCTTCCCTGAACACTTCCTGCTGTGAGACGTTTCCTGCTCTCACCCCTCCCAGTGCCCATTGCTGGTTCTCCCTCCCTGGAAGGTCTCAGGACCCCCCCCCCTCCCACTGTGCCTTCTCCCCTCCCTCCCTGGGCAAACGCACACCCACACTCGTGGGGAAGAAACCACTTCTGAGATGGTCAGTTTCGTGGTCAACTCGGCCAGGCTGTGGTTCCCAGGTAAGCAGCCAACACTCCTCTGGACGTGGCCACGAAGGTCATGTTGTAGGTGTGGTTAACGTCTATTATATTTGACTTCGCCTGAAGCAAATTACCCTCCATAACGTGGGTGGAGTCTCAGCTAATCCTTTAAAGGCCTTAAGAGCAAAACTGAGATTTCCCAGAGAAGAAATTCTACCTCGAGGTCGCACAGTCAACTCCTGCCCGAGCTTCAGCCTGTGAGCCTGCCCTACGGGCCTCGTTCTTGCCAGGCCCCAGCATCCCACGCGGCGATTCCTCAAAATAAACCTGTGTCTACTCCCTACCCACCCACCTACCTCCCTATCCATCAATCCCTCTGTCCTTGCTTTCATTCTTTCTTCCTTCCATCCATCACCCAACCACCCACTCATCCATCTGTCCATCCATCCATCCATCCATCCATCCATCCATCCATCCCTCTGCCTCCGGCCTCGGTGGGTCGTGGCTCCCCAGATGCTCCACTCCTCACCCACCTCACCCGCCAGCCCCGTTCCCATCCCACTGCCTCCCACCTCCAGACCTGGGCCACACGGCTCCACTGAAAGGCTGTCCTCTCCTCCTCTGCCTGGGCCTACAAATCCGTAAGAACGGGTGCAGGCATCACCTCCTCCAGGAAGCCCTCCCTGACCCCTGAGCTGAGCTGGGTTCTCCTCTGGGTTATCACTCCTCTCATTACATGTCTGGTCACATGACATTGTTGACAAGTGTCCTGTGTCCCACGTAAGATGCTGAGCTTTGGATTCTGTGAGATCCTCAGAGAAAAGCTGGGCTCTGAAGGACCAGGAAGGACAGCGAAAGGATGCGACTGGGTGGGCAGCCCAGGGAGGGGGCTGTGTTTCATTCAATGTTTTAGCTCCAGGTCTTGGGGCCCTAACTGGTTCTGGAGAGTCCCTGGGGTGTCTCAATCTTAATAGACAAAGATTGGAAAACAGTGATTAAGACAGTGGGGTTAAGGGAAACGAGGTAGAGAAGAATGGCAGGAATTTGGGGCTGGGGTCTTCCACCGCCCCCCCCGCCGCGGGTGGGGACACCAGCCGAGGGCAGTCCCACCTGAGCCCCAGCAGAGAGAGCAACGGGCCAGTTACGTGCCGTGCCGTCTTGTGTCTACAGGATTAAAAACAGATGCCGAGAAGGGGTGTGGCCGTCCTGTTCTTCCAGGTCCCGTGGGGCGAGGAGCCTGGCCTCGCCCACACCCCACCCTGCAGCGACCCGAACCGTCGCTTCCTTCCCCCCCGGTGGGGGCCTGGCCAGAGGCCTGGGCGCTAATTGTGGGTCCAGGGCACAGAGGGCCTGCATAGGGCAGGTGGGGACCAACGGTGTCCCGGAGGGAACTTAGCTGTGTTAATGAAGCGGCCTAATTTTTTTTTTTTTTGAACAGAAAAGTGGCCAATAATTCCACGGAAAAGATTTGCTACTGATAACCTTAAAAAAAAAAAAACAACACTACTAGTTAACTTAGCAAAACGAATATCTCTGGGAACAGCACAGAAACACAACCGCACATCACGAGGCCTGAACAAAACCATAAGTGAATGTGTAGGAGGGGAGGTCCCTTTATAGTGAAAAAAAAGGGGGGGGGGGCACTATTGTAAACAGAAAGTCCATTGGATGAAACCGGGAGCTGGAAGTGTAGTGGCTTCTCATTGGCTGAGCTGTGGCAGTCTCCAATTGGCTGGGCTGTGGCCGTCTCTCATTGGCTGGGCTGTGGCCGTCTCTCATTGGCTGGAACTGTTGCTGGGGGAAGAGGAAACCTTCCTTCCTCCTGCTGGCTTAGTAAAGCGCTAGCTACAGTGGACTCCACCTGCAAGAGGAGCCTCTTCCTGTTGGGTCTTCAATGGACCGGGAGCGGTACGGCTGAGAGCTCCCCCTGCTGGCCACCGGACTCCATTGTAAACGACGTTTCCTTGACTAATTTTCACGCTACCCTCCACTTCCCAGGATACTGTGCGGGGGGAAACTATTGTCTCAAGGCCCGTCAGTGTCTCTGTTCACTGGCCCCTGGAGGCGGATTCCTCTCATTGAGGGCACACCATTCAGGAGCCCTGAATCCCAGCCATCCCAGCTTTTATGCCAGCGCCTAGAGGTGGACAGAAAATGCCCCCCTCCCCCCACCAAAGACCACCCAGGCACTTTCAGCCAACACAAAGGGAGAGAAGGGAAGGGTCGGTTTCACGCAGGTCTTTAACCATTCCCCACCCCTTCCTGACAGCTGGGTCCCAGGTTCAGAGGCTGTACAGTTTGTGATCATGAGCTAATTAAGCGAGAGCGCAGAGACAGTGGACAGCCGGTCAGGAGCTTCTTAGCCTCTGTCTCCTGACTGCTGTTTCTCTAACTCCCCTTTCCCTTCCTCCTGCCTCTCTCAGTGCCCGGATTTCAGAGGCCACCATTCCCCCACCACACAGCCCACGGACTTCCCAGCTGCTGGCCCTCGCTCAGAAGGTTCTGGTGGGTCTAAGGTTGACAAGGTTCAGATGCACCAACCAGCACCCAGCATTCCCTGGACATAGGACTTTCGCCAGGAATGGCACACGACCCAGTTCAGACCAGTGGCATGTGAGCAGTGGATTGCTGACAAATGATGGAAAAGATGCCCTCCCCTTAAGCACAGAGCTCCAGAAGACTCCCTCCATCCTCGTCTGGACGCTGTGGTGGTACATGTACCCCATGAAACAGCTGTTGCAATTTTGCCCCCCACTTGGGAAGTCAGCCAGAGGAAATTGTAGAGAAGTGGGGCCAGAGCCCCTGGATCAAGCCAGTCCTGAGGCCCACCTACCTCTGGACTTCCAAGTCCAAGAGCTAAGGAAGTCCTTTTTGTTTGAGCCACTTGGATTTGAGTTTGTTGTTGTTTATAACACCCCGAAGCCCTTAAACCAACAGTGTTTGTGACATCACTGGAATAAACATGTTCAGAACGTTGACAGGATGACACAGTATTCGGATTGGTTCTGACTTAAGCGGCAGAATCGTCCGGGAGGCCCTCCCCTCTCAGCTGCCCTCTGGTCTGGCTGGCATGCCTGGGGATTTCCGGAGAGACTCTGGCTAACCTCACCCCTCATCAGAGCCAGAAACAAAGGTGACATCTTTCAACTCTACTCCAGGCAGGACGCAGGGAGAAAAGGCTGTATCGTCCACTGCATGTCAGGGAAACCCCTTAGAAGTGAGCAGAGAGATGAAAGGAGGTGACGTGCCCCTTCCGGTGCTCCCTGGGTCCCCAATCCTCCGCCCATGGGGGCAGACAGAAAATCGCACAGACCAGAGTCAGTGTCCAGTTTATGAATAATTGACAACGTCGTCCATACAGACCGCGAGGAGGAGCTCAGACCGTTTTGCAGCATGGAAGGTGTGGCTCCGAGCCTTAGACCACGCATGGGACCCACTCTCTGGGAAGCCGCCAGCGGACAGGACGGC